AAGATTTAGTGCACTTAGCCAGACCCTGCGTAAAATACATAGCACTTATCATGCCCCGGGTTAGTCAAGGGTCAGTGCACTGTGGACTCACCCTGCACTGCACTGCACTGCAAAGATAACAAGACACCTAATACCCGTTATTTATGCACGATACATGTACGACCCCTCTTGTGTGGCTGAAGGACACACACAGGAAAATGCTGACAAACAAACCACGAGTTAAAACCCTTAGGGAATTGGATGGGTATGTACAATAAGGTTAGGGATTTCAAAAGGGGGACCTTGACAAACAAAGGCTACCATCATGAGTGAGAGCTGGAGAACAAGCACATTATAACAACTGCATAGTTCAGGGTGAGCAAGCAACAAGCATTACAATAGTTACATCATTCTAACTATCATAATGATCGATCAGAAACTGCAAGAGCAAACAGAACCAGCTAGATTGAGTGTTGATGATGACACAATTCTCTGTCCCATTACCTGTACCCAATGCAGGAACTCCCTGAGAAAGGTTCTCTGCAAATCTGCCGTCTGATGTGTGCAAAGCAGGAGTCTCATGAAGTACTCCACAGCTCCGTTGTATCTTTCCACATACCCATACAACCTGCCACACTTGAACACACCAGTCGAACTGCTGTGTGAGGTCAACTGCCAAGTGCAAAAGCACAGCACGTGCCTCTCCCTCAACAAGAATTTATGTCAGTTTGAACAGTTACTGAATTCATATTATTCATAAATCAAAAGAAAAGTCCACAGTTATGCATAATATCAATAACCATGTCGAGTTGCGGGCGATCAAAGACTGCGCCCATAGTCTGTAATGCCGTACCCCCATGTTTTACCTGCCTTAATCCCCTGGGCAGGTGAGGCCCAGCCCTAGTTGCCCTGCGCGCCATGTGACCCTCTTACCTTTGAACTGAAACCCCTGGGCATGCTGACTAACTCCACAACTCACATCCTAACCATTTTCATAAGCCTGTCTAATCATTCAACAGTCACGTGGATCCTTGATGATATGTTGAGCCCTGCTAATGCATGGCAAACCCTTTACAGGGTTTAACAACGACGTCAACAGAACATGACGGCATATGATGAGCTGACCCCCGTCCGTGATAGAATAATGAGCACAAGTCTTTGGATTCTAAATGACATATGCTGAATGCAAAGTGCAAAGGACGCCTTAACAAACAAGGATGGAATTATATGGATCTTGATGGCATGAATATTTATTCAGTCCGGTTATTCTCCTCCTCCACATCACCGCCGTTTCCATTTGCCTCCATCTCCAATCGTCATCCACATTGTTCGTCCCTTTCTCGTATTCTGTTTATCTTTTCTACTTAGTTCCTTCTACTTCCTTCCTTCATGGTCTTCAGTTTTATCTCCCTACTCTTCTCTGCACAAGCTTAGCAAGGGAGGCAGAAGCAATGAAAACAATGCGGCTGACCGCCAGATCGTGGCATGGCAGCCTTGTCTACCACGCATCCATCACTCCCCCATTTCTTCCCCTCCTCCCTTCTTCCCCTCTTTTACTTCTTTCCCTCCTACCTTTCCTGCTTCCTCTACTCCTACCTCTCCCTATCACTTGCACCCTCCCTCTCTCCCTCCACCAACCCTCCCTGCACCCTCCCTCCCTCCATTCCTCGCTCTCTCTGTTTTGTTCCCCCTTTCTCTCCTTCTCCTCGCTTCCCTTCTCCTCTCACAGTGTTGTGTGCCAGAAATAGCTCCCTCCCACCTTTCCTTCCTCCATCGCTCCCTCCCCCCCTTTATCCTGCTCCCTCTCTTCCCTCCTTTCTTCCTCCCTCCCTCTGCTCCCTCTTCCCTCCTGTCTTCTTTCCTCCCTCTGCTCCCTATCTTCCCTCCTTTCTTCCTCCCTCCCTCTTCTCCTCTCCCTCCCTTCCTCCCTCCCTCCTTTTACTCCTCCCTCCCTCCCTCCCTCCCTCCCTTCCATCCCTCTTTCCTTTTTCACCCTGCCGTTCCGTCTCCCCCCTCTCCTCCCTCCCCTTCTTTCCCCCCTTCCCCTCCCGTTCCCCCTCACCCTCGCCCCCTCATCCCTCCCCCGTTCTCCCTTCCTTCTTCCACCTTTATTCCTCCCTCCCTTCATCCCTACCTCCCTGCCTCCCTCCCTCCCTTCCTTTCTTCTCTCCTTTCCCCCCCGCCCTTCCGTCTCCTCCCTCTCCTCCTTCCACGTGCTTTGTTATGGTTGGCAGCTGCTTCAGCGTGCTGCTGGCGCCGTTGCTCTGCGTCGCATGCAATAGAGCTGAGGCGTGCCGTTTCGGCTGCCGCCTCGCGTTGCTGTTCCTCTCGTACTTGTTGCATGTAGGTGCCCAGGCGGGCCAGGAAGGCCATCATGGTCTCTCCTTGCTGCCGGACGGGCGCAGCGTCGAGGGCTCCCGCTGTCGCAGTGGAACCGACCTGCTGGACCTGTGGGACCAGGGGGTTCGAGCTGCACGCCTTGCGTGGACTGCAGGATGCGGCATTGTCCACCGTGGGGTCGCCCTGGGCGTCCATTGCAGAGGGGTGGGGCAGGGGTAGCTGCTGTTCCGCTGCGGCTGCCCACCCTTCACATCCTGCGATGCGTTTGCTGCGTCGGAGCATAAGCTGCAGTTAGCTGTACGGTGTTGGCTGACGAGGTACTGCTGATGTGGCCCTGCTGCTGACGTGGCACTGCTGCTGTCGTGGCACTGCGGGTGTCGTGGCACTGCGGGTGTCGTGGCACTGCGGCTGTCGTGGCACTGCGGCTGTCGTGGCACTGCAGCTGACATGGCACTGCAGCTGTCGTGGCACTGCAGCTGTCGTGGCACTGGTGACGTGGCACTGCTGCTGTCATGGCACTGGTGACGTGGCACTGCGGCTGCCATGGCACTCCGGACTTGGCACTGCTGACATGGCACTTACCAAAACGGGAATGCAGGCAAAAGGGTTGGGTGGGAGGGAAAAGCAGGAAGGTAACCAACCAAACTGTACTTTCATCCCGGTCCTAATCAACAGAATAAAAATAAAAAATAAAAGAAGAGGCTCACCCACCTTTTTTTCTTTTTCTTTTTTTCTTTTTTTGTATACCTGTCGATCTGCTATCAGTGGGGCATTTTACGGAGGAGTGCTATGAGTAAGATCTACGCAAAGCTTTGCAGAATTTCGTCTTTAAAAAAAAAAAAAATGGGATTTTGAAAAAAATTGTGCGATCATAGAATAGAGATTCGATTTTCAGAAAAGAATAATCCAGTTCCGAGAGTATGACAACCTCTTATTATGCATAGCAAACGAAATGCTGATAGGCTTCTCACAATTTTGGCTTTCAGGAACCATTTTTTTGCGAAATAGAATGGAGTTTCGATCTTCAGAAAAGAATAAATCCAGTTTCTGAGAATATGACCACATCCCTTGTTAACCTGTATGCCCAGAAAAACGAGATGCTAACATCAGAAATTTTCTGCTATAAAATTATAAATGCTAATATCAGAAATTTTCGGATGCTAATATCAGAAAAACGAAATGCTACTATCAGAAATTTTCAGATATTTGTTGCATGAAAACGAAATGCTAATATCAGAAATTTTCAGATAAGACGAAATGCTAATATGATAATATCAGAAATTTTCAGATAAAACGAAATGCTACTATCGGAAATTTTCAGGTATTTATTGCAAGAAAAGAAAAGAAAAAAATTGCAGAGATCTGATGAAGTCCTGCTTGTGCAAGGAAGATGAGCAATAGCCAACTCCAGCAATCAAACAGCATCATACATATGAGTCCAGATAGTCTTGACCTCGAACCAACAGCAGAATTGCATCACGAGATTCACCAAATAAGAACACACCAAGAGTTCATAATTGACAATGCTGAAATAGTCCCCCCATCATCAACGAAGAACCAGAGTCGATATCCTATCTGGCGCTCGGCGCCCAGACTACATGTGGCAGATCCTATCTAACCTATACTACGAAGCCGAAAAATGACATCAACAGCATTCCCGAAGTCCGAGCATATGGCGACTAATGCCGCACGCTTCCAGCACCAGGTAAGTCTCGCGCTACACTCACAACCTCGTTCCCCAACTCACAGATGCCACTAGCACCCCGAAGTTACGGGGCTATTTTGCCGAGTTCCTTAGAGAGAGTTGTCTCGCGCCCCTAGGTATTCTCTACCTACCTACCTGTGTCGGTTTGAGGTACAGGCAGGACCACCCTGCGCCACACCCAGCTGCACAGCGGAGCAGCTCGGCTATGGCTGCCCGCTCCTTCCCTGCTCGCCCGTGAGGGCGTAGGCGCCAGCCAGCAAATAGCGCAGCAGCAGCGCTTGCGCAGCATGCAGCCAGCACCCGAATACTGAATGAGATATCGAAGTGGCCTGCCTGCGTCCAGTCCCAGGAAGCTTACAGTAGGCCCCGGTAGCCTGAGGCCCAGCACGACGAGAGCAGGCTCTGGGCCTGTAGTGGTTGCATGTGCCCAACTGCCTTCGGCCTTTGTTTGGCCCGGTACCCGTATCCAGCCCAGGGCCTGCTTCACATTCATTCACACAGGCRGCCCARGGYCTGGGTTCACTCAACCAACTGGCGCTGCGCAACTGCCTGAATTTCCCTGAGTTGCGTAGTGGCCAGAAAAAGGGCCCTGAGGGCCTCGTCGAGCCTGCCTTCACTTAGGGCGGCGGACGGGCTGCAAAAATGCCTCGCACTTGGTTTACTAATAAACAATCGATCAATCACTCAATCAATCATTCAACAATCAGTAGATCAAGCAAGCTGGCTACTTGACTGGGCGGATCCTCTGATTGTTAGGTCCGCTCCGATACCAAACTGTCGCATACCGTAACAGTACAGACCAGAACAAGAACTGACCTCTCTCACGAAGTACAAGCTAACACAGCGGAAGCCTTAAATACCAATGATTCGAACAATCAATGTTGCCATGCAGACCAAACATACATCATCATCATTCCATGGTGTGAAGGGGCCTGGCGCTCACACAGGAAGAATGCGCCAGTCCCCAACTATACACAGACGAAGAAGAGGGGGGTTAGACGAAGAAGAGGGGAAGATGGGAATGTTGTCAACACCAAGTCTTCGGTACGGTCCCAAATAATCCCTCGTCAAATGTCTGAATCCCAATGTCGAGTCTGGATCCAAATGTCGTCACCAATCTCGCTCTCTCTCGTAGTTTGCAGATACTGAGAAGAGATGGTGGACTTAGAAGAGGAAGAAGAAGAACTCCTCCAAAGTGCTGCTGCGGAATCCTGAAGACTACCTCCTGCCTCCTGCACCTGAAGTGCCTGGGAAGTTCGTATGAACTGCCTCCTGACTGCCTGCAGCCTGTAGGACGGGCCAGTCTTATATGGTGCTGGCCCGTCCAGGAGGCTGCTCTTGCCAATGCCAAAACGTGCCAGACCCTGGCATTGAAGTTCAAACAAAGGTTGTCTTGAAAACAGGCTCAAAATGGCCTGTGCTAAAACCCTGGTCTGGTGCCTAAGTTTTAGGTCAGGTCGATCTTATGAGGGCCTGAAAATGGCCCTCCTTTTCAGGCTGAAAAGACTCAGGGCCTGTAGGCCCTTGTTTTCAGGATTTCAGGCTGAAACGACACAGGGCCTGTAGGCCCTCGTTTTCAGGCTTTTAGGCTGAAACGAACACAGGCCCTACACGTACAGACCCTTAGTCTACCTGGTCAGGCCCTGCTGGGCCCGTGTGGTACTGAGTATGCCACACTCCCTCTACCATCCATCCTGGTCTACATCATAGCTTCTTTTTCTGCACAAGAAGCAAGCAAGGTGAGGTGGCTTGCCAGATCAGGAGTGTGGCATCACTGATTATCCAGGGACTCGTACCAGTGATGACCAAAAGGCCATCTCCAAGACACAACATGGAAAAAGAATTACCAAATAACATCGATAAGCTTTGATTCATGACGCAACCGCCCTTAGCCAAACTTTCCAGAAAGGCGTGCGGTGCATGACCGACAAGCTACACATGTAACCTTGGATGCATTCGCCACATTTCAGGTGCATTACATCCGTCCCTAAATGCAAGACACACCTGCCCTTGCCCTCAATAAAACACACACCTGCCCTTGCATTTCACAAAGTGCTATGCAGGGCGAGCCAAGAGGTCTGAGGAGGAGGAAGAAGCTCTGAGATAGCCTGTTCAAGTCTGCAATGTCTCAACCAGCTGTGAGAATGCACCTCGTCCTTTGGTAGGTAGGTGTGTCGTGTCATCTGTCTTGCAATGTACAATGTACATACAATCTGGTCCAAGTCCTGCTTTTCACACTGGCCCACATTTCGAACCTTACTGAAGGCCAGCCACATTTGCTGGTTGCCATTTGGCCATTTGTCTGAATGCTATGACCCCTTTCCTCTCCCCCCTTACCTAGCCATATTCTCTACCACAGTAGATAACTGGACTGGATCAAAAACATGAGAAGTCGTTCTCACCCAAATCGGAATTCCTGGCAGACATAAAAAATACCGCACAGCCCAAATTTCACCCTCCTTTCACACTGGTTAGTAGTCGTCCAGATATTGAGCCCAACCAAAGGCCACGCAAATTCTCATCCCCTCGACCACTTACCATCTGGCCATTTGTCTGCTAGGCGTGTCTGACGTACAAGCATTTTTTTTTTCTTGTAATCGCGTACGAACCGTTGTAGGCGAGTACAAAACGTGCATTGTACTCGTATGTTAGCAACCTGTGAAAGTACTTTTCCGCGTTTTCGCGAGTTTTTAGGACATTAAAAAAAAAAAAGTCAGCAGCCCTTGAAGTCTAGTATCCATGGGAAAGGGGGGGGGGAAATTGATGTGCTTTTCAATTTTTTGATGCATAGCACTTCTTTTGGCGCGCGCACACACACACACAGAGAGAGAGAGAGAGAGAGAGAGAGAGAGAGAGAGAGAGAGAGAGA